TGCCTCCTCGAAAGCTGCCTCAGTCACGGTGCCCGCCTCCCACAAGTTCTTAAATATATCACGTTGAGCTTCAGCATAGACCCAGAGTTCATGAGCCTGGCGGGGAACAGCGGCACGAGATGATCCAGCATGGGCCCTCAACCGCTGATTCTCCTCCTCCAAGGCCGCAACCCGATCTGACAAGGCTAAGGCCTCCAGTTCAACCGCGCCAATCCGCTCCTCGAGCCTCGCCTCCCTAAGGGCCGCCATAGCTCTCTCCGACTCTCGCTCGGACTCATGTACACGAATTGCCGCCTCCAAGGCCGCTGCCCTCGTCGAAGCATCCAACGCTGCCCTCTCCATACGCTTCAAATCGGCAACCTTGCTTTCCAGCGCCGTCAACTTCCCGCTCCATCGGCGTTCATCTCCGCTGCTCCGGCCTGGCTCTGCTCCATTTCCAACTGCATTGCTCGTAACTTGCCCTGCAGGTGCTCGCATTCCGCAGCGACCCCTTTGTCCACCTCGAGCTCCTCGTCCTTGAGGCGGATTTGCTCTTCGAGCTCGCTCTTGCTACGGAGCGCTTGCATTAGCTCCTGGTCCCTCTTCTACAACTCCTCGCCCAAAGCCCGGTTGCGGGGATCAGTCCTTAACCGTTCGTGCAACTCACGACACCTATCGCGATAACGACGGTATTTTCCCAGCATCTGCAAGAAGATCCTCGACCGGACATTGGCCCTGCGAATATTTTCTACCTCCAACATGTACGACTGCAAAACAAGAAAGCAGATAAACTAATGCTCATTCTGCAACAAAGGAGAAACAAATCGAAGTCAGACATAACATGCTCGTAAGCCCATCACAGCTACTTCGTCCATCACTTCGACATCCGAAACATTCCTCAAGGACTCGTTCTCGGCCTCCGAACACAACAAGCTGAATTGTGGTACCAAGTTGCCTCCTTGTGTTAACAGGTTCACATCGGATGGGATCTCAACGAGACGGGCCGACCCCTCCGCATTAACTACCGAGCGAGTAATACCCTCCTCGAACATCCGAACATCATCAGGGTCCAAGTCAGACTCGGACTCGTATTCGTCGATCACTACTCCCTTTCATCTCCGCTGCCGATGGTGTGGCGCGACCTGTCGAGGATGGTAACGGCGCACTCGAGGCCGCGACGGCAGCATCAGGGGTCCGATTCTCCGCCACAACGAGAGGTCCTGCGTCATAAACAGCGGGAACTCCTGATTGGGTCGCTACACCAGCAGAATCTCCCTGGCTCTGACTGGTGGGAACAACCCCGACCATCCGCTCCCCCTCAGCGGTAGACGTCGCAACAACACCTTCCTCTAGGTTTTCTGGGGGTGAATCCAAGTTGATCACCGCCGGAGGAACCATCTCAAACCCTACCCTTCGCCTCTTTGATGGCCCTTCTTCCTCCCCGGCTGATGGCGAGTCGTTCTGAGCACGGACGGTACCAGACCGACCCTCCTCCAGAGATATAGTCCGGGTCGGAGCGGCCAAAGCCACAGATTCTACCGACGCCTCCCTCGACGGACGAGCTGCAGGTACTGCACTGATACGAGCGGATGCGGACGGCCAACGGAAGGCTAACTGAGGAGCCTTGACTCTGCGAACCCTCCCTGGCCACGACAGACAATACTCGAAAAGGTAAGATCAAAACGAAAGAGAACGGGTAAAAAATAAGGGCGCTATCTCACCTGTAAGGGCCTAAGTCCGAACCTCATATGAAATGTCGACCATGTGCGAACTCCCGCTGTATGAGGAAGAATGGCCTCGACCCATTCTCGGATCCCCTCCAGAGGAGGCGGGGGTAACTTCTCGGCTGCAAATCATCGAAATAGATCAACATTTACATGAGATATAAAGAAAGCGAGGCCAAAGTGGTTACTCCACTAGTCAAGGACGAAGACTTACGGGCAAAATTCCACACTTCTGGAAACCCAGTTGGATCCGCTACAAGATGCTCGGTCCGCACATAGAAAAAGTTATCAAAAAAATGGCGATTGGTCCTGTCGTCCATCTTGACCACTAAACCTTTCGACCCTCGGGGACGCGCATGGATCATAGTGCCGCGAGTCTTTTGGGGAACGAACAGGCTGAGCACGTGTCTCAGAGTGACCTCCCGACCGGCTAGCTCCGCGTACTTGATAAACATGAGGAACAGCTTGTACAGGTAAGGAGAGAGTTGGGAAGGACACACCTCATAATAGCGGCAGAAGTCGACCACCAACATTGGAAGCGGAAGTGTGTACCCCACTAGGAAAGGGTAAGCACAGAACGAGCAGAACCCGGGACGGTCGATCTGGACCCTATCTTCTCTCTTCGCCGGCACCATCTCGACATAACCAGGAATACCCCATCGTGCCCTTAAATCTGCTATTCCGATCTCCCCTATAAGAGGAGGAATATTTACCTGCTCCGCACCACCATCGGCGCTGAAATCCACCACTGCATTCCCCGGGCGGGATAAAATTTCCTCTACTAAAGGAACATCTTCACACTCCATCGAGTCTACGTCTCCGTCTTCCTGAACAGGGTCCCCGGCCGCCGGAGAGATAGCCGGAAGATTATCGTGAGAAGAAGTTCCTGTCATCTTCAACTCACAAAAAGAGGAGGGAGGAACTTTGAGGAAGAAGCGAGAAAGCTCAAGATTGCCGCGAGCAAAGGAGTCAAGAAGAGCTCAGACTAATAGAAAGGGAGATATTCTGGGAATTCTCTCGAAGATGAGCAATAAAATGTGAGAAACGAGTGACAAACCCCTTCAATTTATAAGACACAAATCCTCCAAGGCACAAAAACCAACGGTCGCCGCCAGAACCTGGCCGGGCATGAAACGATTCAGCTCCTTGGGAACGTGCGCCGCTGTGACCGCAGGTACAAAGCTACGTTTCGTTTATCAACCGGCTCTTCGGTTTCGAAACCGTCGTGATGGCATAAGAAGTATTAAAAAGACGCCTCCGGGCAGTTTCGAAATTTATAACGCGACCAAAGAAAAACACGCGGATCTGACTCCCTCCACGATTACGCCACAAACATTATCCGACCGCCGAGGTCGGTAAGATACGACCCCGACGAACGGAGGGACTAACTGTATTGGTCAGAATCTGACCACACGACCACAGCAGCAAGGACCCCGTCCCGACCACCCTGCGGCAGCAATCAAACGAACTCGACTTCGCCTAATCGCTGCTATTTAAGACATGAGTGTCGAGGTCGAGGCCTCCCCATGAGGGGAGGTCATCTCCCCGACCCGGCCCAAACAAAATATGATAAGCATAAGGAGTTTTGGGCTATAAATAGAAGGCAGAAGAACCCCTTAGAGGGGGGGGGGGGATCCACGAGAGAGAGACAAAACAATCTTAGAGAGAGAGAGAGAGAGATTCTACCTCCAAGGAGGAAGAGAGAATTTGATTGTAATCTCCTGAACTTCTTCAAGGGGAGGCAGGCCAAATTTCTATAATCAATAAAAGCCTCCCAGGTGTCATTTATTGATTCTTCTATCTTTATGATTATGTTCTTTGATCCAGTATTAATTAATGTTGACTACGATTTACCCCTTCATCTACATTAATTGATTTGCTTAGAAAATATTAAACAACTTTTGAGTCAAACACTCCTCTCTTTAACAATTACAAGTAGGGTACTCCATCAGCTGAAAGGATCATTAGAAATTACAAGTAGCAACTGAGAATCTTGCAAAATAAATACTTCTAAGTATTTCTCCACAAGTTACAAACATTCAAGCATTTATACAAAGTTTCAAACATCTAAAATGATCTAACGACTCTATCAATTGTATTCTTTTTTCATCAGATCGATACTAACTTGCCTATTCGTTAGGAATAAGGATTAACAAATTGTTCAAGAGATAAGTTCAAGGTAAAAACTCTCAAGCCCTTGAATTAAACCAAATTAAAATCAAACTCAATCGGCACTTTGGGTCTAGTTTTGAAGGGAAAATTAGAGGGGAGTGTCATGCCCTGCCACATCATCCTGCCACGTAGGTGCCACTTGGCATAAATTTTTGCCATATGGAAAGCTTATATATGAATTATACTAGCACATATGGGAAGGTTCTAGAGAAATGTGGAGATTTCTTGTAAAAGACCTAAGAACCCTATGGAATTGCTAGGAAAATTAGAAGATTCTAGCTTTGTAGAAAATTTTCGAGAAAAGACTTACTTGTAAATAATAAGGGACTTGTGTAATAATTATTATTTACTCACTAGTACCTAGGAGACCAGTATATAAACGGGGCTATTCATTTGTAACTCACCAAGCAAAAACAATCAAGTTCTCTATGATAAAAAGCGTCCTTTGATAAATTTCTCTTGTCTTTCTTATCTAACATTCCCTAGCGATATAGAGTGTAATATTATAGGCTGACTTGGCATAGCAAGATCGTGCACAAGGTGTGCAAGATCGTGAGAAAGTTGTCAAATGCCGGACGTGCACTTAGTTCAAAACTAAGGACGTGACAGGAGTCTCTTTAAATTTAAGTCACTCTAGAGTTTATAACCCTCCTAATTTCTTGAAATCAAATATCACAACATCTTGTCTTAATTTCTGAGGCACAAGTATTTGTGTTACAGTAAGTAGTTGATAGCTAGAAATTTTCAGAAGTAAATAGGGTGGCAACTTCGTACCGGTGTTACCCTTTCTTTTCTAAGGATAAGGAGAAGAATCTGGATTCGGAGATTCATTGTACGATTTACTACTCCATCATACTCATTCAAGATTTTCCCTGAGAAAATCTAGCCAAATATCGGACACGCTTGTTTCCCGCGGTCTTGTGCTGGTTACAACACGTATGATGTTTTATTCTTGAAAAAGTCAACAGCACGAGTCCACTGTCCTTTCCAAGTGACATGCCTTGTCAAAATTCTGGTAAATTTAAAATTTAAAATTATTAATAATTAAATTAGTAATTCGGTATTTCAAAAATAAATAAAAATCTGGATGAAGCCCCACGTAGAAAGAAACTTTGCCAATTCAGAACAATTAATAACGGAACCCCAGTCAATGCTAAAATACGTACTAAATACTGTAGTGTGGTGAATACCATTAACCACTTGGAATGTTCAATGCAATTTCTCATCTATTCGGCCAATCCTGTGGCTTTTCCTGAAGCCAATGCTTCTCTAAATTATGGTGTTTTAATCATCTTGAAAGTTCCAGGAAATTTCATTTCTGCTGCATTTTCTTGGTAGTTGGGTCTCGATTTTTTCCGTTTAGTTTCTTTCAGGTAATTGTCGAGCACAGTCAACAAAGCTTTTGATCTTTGAGTTGGCTTGTCCAAATTTGCCAATTCTTGGCAAGACTTTGCAACACTTAATCATGTAAGCTATTTCATTGCTTGAATTTTGGTTGACTTACACAAGTCTTCCTGATACTGTTTCTGCTCCCTATTGCTTCAAATGAATGTATAAACATAACCCATAAATTACTTTTCTTGATCTTGCCTATTTTGCATCACATGCTCTTTTAAAGGTTTCCTTTGTTACAATTTGAGAAAATTCTTATCAAAATTTCAACTTTTGTATTCTCAAGCAAAATGATGGTTAAAATTTTGTATCCAGAGCTGTAGCAAGAATATTTTGTGTGCTTTTTGACTTTAAATTGGTGGTCTGACTTGCATCCTTGGAAACCATAATGAAGGCTTCTTGAGACAAGATGAAGCAAAGTCAAGGCTTTTCCTCCAGTGGAATTATTGCTTGCTAGATTGACTGTAGAGTTTCTATATTGATCATATGGGATAGCCTCAATTCTGGTCCTCGAGTATTTTTTCCTGGGTGAAAGCAAGATGCCAGATGTGATTAGTGCTTCTGCTTTAGGTCCATTTGCGGATATCCTCTCTTCAATTATAGAGTCCATCATTGAAGTAGTACTTTCTACCAAGAATGTCTTTATAGAGAAGAAGAGTTTTGAAGAACTTTCAGCTTATCTGAATCGAATTGTTCCTCTTCTTAAGGAGATTAACAGGAAGAACATTAATGATTCCAAATGCTGGGAAAATGTTTTAGAAACTCTTAACCGACAGATATTGGATGCAAGGCAACTAATCTCGGAATGCAGTAAGAAAAACAAGGTCTATCTCTTAATGAGTTGTCGATCTATTGCAAAGCGCATAGAGAATATCACCAGGGAAATTAGCCGTGCATTAACTTGCATTCCTTTAGCTTCTCTTGACGTTTCTTCAGGTATAAAGGAAGAGATTGTCCAGCTGATCGACAGGATGCGTACAGCAGAATTTAGAGCAGCCATAGCTGAAGAAGAGATTTTAGAGAAGATAGAGTCAGGTATACAACAGAGAAATGTTGATCGCTCCTATGCCAACAATTTGTTAGTTTTAATTGCGGAGGCCGTTGGAGTTTCAACTGAAAGCTCAGCTTTAAGAAGAGAATTTGAAGAGTTCAAAAATGAAATAGACAATGCACGGTTAAGGAAAGATCAAGCTGAAGCCTTGCAGATGGACCAAATAATTGCTCTGCTAGAAAGGGCAGATGCTGCAACATCTCGCCAGGAAAAAGAAAAGAAGTACTTCACAAAGCGGAAATCATTGGGCAGTCAACCTTTGGAACCACTTCTGTCATTTTATTGCCCAATCACTCGTGAGGTTATGACTGATCCTGTTGAGACTCCTTCAGGGCATACGTTTGAAAGGAGTGCAATAGATAAGTGGTTGGCAGAGGGAAATTTGTGTCCTATGACATCTACTCCTTTAAACAATACAATGTTGCGGCCTAATAAAACTCTGCGGCAGTCAATTGAGGAATGGAAAGACCGAAATACAATGATTACTATCGCTTCCATGAAACTGAAAATATCATCCACCGAGGAGGAAGAAGTTCTCAATCACCTGGAACAGCTAAGGGATCTTTGTGAGCAGAGAGAAATACACCGAGAATGGGTTATTATGGAGGATTATATTCCTATTCTGATCAAGCTACTAGGTTCGAAAAGTAGGGATATCAGGAATCTTGTTCTTGAGGTGCTCTGCGTACTAGCAAAGGATGGTGATGATGCTAAGGTACTTATTCTTTTGATTTTTTTCAGATTTTTCAATGTGTTCTCTTTTCCTTGAGAGGCTGCTAAGATCACCTTGTCTCTGCTTTCTATATGTTGTGAGATCATTAATCTCTCAAATTGTTGGGAGTTGGAATTTGAAAGCATTATATGTGTTAAAAGTTGACACTAGGTTCAAGTCTCAATTTTGAGCTTGTGAAAAAAGGCTGACCAAAGATATTGGCTTTGTTCATATGCGTCTGGAGATGTGAACCATGGTTGGGGCACAACAATTTGAGTATCATTGCAAGCCCAAGAGGGTACTGACAGTGTAGAGAGCCCACATAGGATGTGAGTACCACAGTCCAATTTGGTGCAATGTGGAACTCACACAATTTTTTAAAATAAAATAACTTAGAGTGATTAGGTATGAGTATGAGATCAACTCTTGCCCAGGTCGGTCAGAAATGGCATCTGATCGTGCCATATGAAAAGCTGTTGTTAGTTCGAGTTAACTGCAGTTCAAATGCAATGAGGATTTCTCAAAGCTAATTACTGATGAGAGACATATTGTGCCAAAATGCATAAAACCTATATAAGGTATTTGCTTTAAAGAGAGAGAGAGCCAAGATATATCATTTGCCTTTAGGTTAAAAACTTTTCATTTTTGGGCTTGTGGAAATTAGCATGTAGAAGTCTGATGGTTCATTATATGTTGCTTCCACGTCCTTCCTAACAGCTCTGTATGATTCTAGATCTGGCAATTTCATAGGCCTACCTATTGATTTGACGTGGGATATGCAGGAGAATATCACATCCGCCATATTAAAAAGCATGAGGAATGTGATATATGATGCAAAATTTTGTAGTTCAAACCTCTGCACAGTTATTTGTATTTCCCATGTGATATATGTCTCTCCATGTGCATGTATTTGTATTTCCCATGAGCCCCACATTTTGTTTTGTGGATCTTGTTGCTTATCTTTGCTTTTTCTATGTATACTTATGGTTTTGGACACATGATGTTGAAATGTCATGCTTCTTGCAAAGACTGGATTCAGATCCAATGCAATGTCAACTAAGAGCTCAGTTATTTCTTTGGTATTCAATTGCACCAGTTAGTAAACGGGCATGAAGACATTTAGTTGCATATCGAATAAGATCAAGATCAGTTAATTTTAATCACGCTCAGAGATTATAATATCACATACCTGCAAACTTGATTTTAAATGAGTTGGTGAAGGCTCTCACATGGAGTGTATTGCAGGAAAGAATTGCTGAAGTTGACAAATCATTGGAATCTATTGTCCGCTCACTTGGACGTCGCATTGGCGAAAGGAAGTCAGCGGTAGCATTGTTACTGGAACTGTCAAATTGTAAGTCAGTTCAGGAGTCCATTGGGAAAGTTCAGGGTTGCATACTTCTGTTAGTTACTATGTCAACCTGTGATGACAACAAAGCCGCCAAAGATGCAAGGGACATTTTGGAGAACATTTCATTTTCTGATGACAATGTTATCCTGATGGCCAGGGCTAACTATTTCAAGTACTTGTTGCAACGTCTTTCTTCAGGTTAGTTTCTCAATCATATTAACTTCTTTAACCTCTAACAACACCGACACTTTTCTGATGTGAGCTCTTAGTTTTTGGTTAGATAAGTTGAAACCTGAGCATGGTTAACTTTGTTGCAGTTGCCTCATCTTTCTCTCAGTTTGCATGTATTAATAACCAAGATTTGGGGCCTGATGGGAACAGTTTTTTTACTTTGTTTAAATTCATAATCTTTTCACATTGTGATAAACTTAACCATAATGGAGGATGGAGTCAGAACAAATTTCAGCTTTATACCGGTAGGAGTATTACTTGTTATGTAATCTAGTCCTCTCCTTTTAAGCAAGCACTGTATATCTTTGAGATTGTATAATTTATTAAAGATAGTTCCTGGGCCACAAATTGAGTTTGTATGCCTCCTTATGTTCTATCATGGAAATTTTAAAAAATAAAATGTCTCCAGCTTTTACCAAATGTATACATACAAGCAAAGCTAGATTTACTCATTTTTGGTTAAATTGGTTCCATACTTTTTTATGGAGCGTAGAAAACTCCGTTTCTTCGTAATGGTAGTAGGGCATCAGTTATAAGTTGTCAATAGCATCTGTTTTTTCTCAATATAATGTTGCTGAAAGTGGCCAGTACATTTTAGAAATTTTACAGTTTTGTCCACTAATACACTCAATGTGAATAGTTGGACACACAATTGAGTAGAAGAGCAAAATTTATGTTCAACAGTTTCTTGCATCAGACTTGCTCTACATTTTTTCTTAGTTATGGAGTACTCAAATCATTACCATTTCTTACCTCCTTCTCCTAACTAACAGGATGCAGTGATGTGAAGCTCCGGATGGCAAAGACCTTAGGAGAGATGGAGTTGACAGATCATAACAAGTCATGTCTATTTGAGGAAGGAGTTCTACATTCCCTTCTTTCCTTGCTGTCACATGGTGAAATTGAAGAGAAACAAGCTGGCGTCAAAGCCCTTCTAAACCTCTCTAGTTTACCAAAGAACGGACAGGAGATGATCAGACAAGGTGTTATGCGTCCACTGCTTGATACGTTGTACCGTCACTCATCTTCCCAAAGTTTGCGGGAACTTGTAGCAGCCACCATTACAAGTCTTGCCTTCTCCTCTGCAAACAGTGAAACACAGGTTTCACTGCTTGATGCTGATGAAGACATTTTTGAACTTTTTTCCGTAGTTAACTTGAGTGGTCCAGCTGTGCAGCAAAGCATTCTCCAGGCTTTCTACGCCATGTGCAAGTCTCCGTTTGCCGCTAGTGTCAAGGCCAAGCTAGCACAGGTATTCACCTCTTAGGAAAGAAGTAATAGAATGTGCTGTTATCAAGAAATTTACTTAACATGTTTTACCCAAATAAGCTCACCCATTTGAGTAAGCAGCACCGGATGTGGTAACCATAACTTGTTTGTGAAAGTTAACTGAGTTAGCTAGTTTTCAGCCTTCTTGAACCTTGAACATAAGATGTTGGAATAATCAGTATCATTAGACAGGAATATAGAATTCCTTACTGTGGAAAAGGCCTTAAAACTCATGCTTAGCTGTAAGGGCTGACAGTATTACAGGTTTATGTGATTACATTATGATTCTTACCATTCATTTTACTTTTACTTTTTGATGCTCCTGCTTTCAAGCTCCTGGATGCTATAGGATTTTTGAATACTTCTGCACAAATATTTCATGAATTCTATGAAATTTGCCTTCAAAAGCTTGAAACTGCAAGATGTAAAATCGTTTTCTGGCCTTCTTTTTAGTTTTGACAGTCAGAGATGCTATCAGTCCTAGACTCGGAAATTGAACTAGGAAGTCTTGGCGACTCCCTTCATTTTACTGGAAATGTTGTGGTCAAAAGTACGGCCCATTCTGCCCAAACATGGGGTTTATTTCCTAATGCAAAAGTTGATCACTTCCCAAATGGAAAACTTAATCATTGATCCAATTTTTCATACTATTGTATAGTTAAACACAACCCACTTATGCACTGCCCTAAATGTAAACATATTGACATGTAAGTTGTGCTCTGCACTTTACACATTTTCTGCAATCTTTATGGTTTACCTCTTAAAATATTGGAGGAATTAAATTCTTGCTTAAGTATTTTATGTCTATTCTTTTCCTTAAACACTGATAATGCTGCATCCACAGTGCTCAGCTGTCCAAGTGCTAGTGCAATTCTGCGAGCATGGAAATTCAGATGTACGGTCAGATGCAGTCAAATTATTCTGTTGCTTGATTGAAAATGCTGATGAAGCTATGATCCAGGAGCATGTGGAACAAAAGTTCATCGAAACATTACTTAAGATCATCAAGACTTCTCAGGACGAAGAAGAGATTACTTCCGCAATGGGGATTATCTCTAACCTTCCCAAATCTCCTCAACTCTCTGAGTGGCTTTTTGCAGCGGAAGGACTTCCAATCATTTTCAGCTTTCTTCCCGAGGTAAAGCATAAGAATCCCTGTAAGCTTCAATTGGTAGAAAATGCTGCTGGGGCATTATGCCATTTCACAGTCTCAATAAACCAGCAAACACAGAAGATAGCTGGCATTGTCCCCAAGCTAGTACGGCTGCTAGACGTAGGAACAAGCTTGACAAAAGAACGAGCTGCAATTTCTCTTGCCCAGCTCTCAGAGAATTCACAAACACTGTGTCGCCCAATCCAAAAGCGTCAGGGATTATGGTGCTTCTCAGCTGCACAAGTAGAACTTTGCCCTGTTCACCGAGGGATATGCACACTAGAAACTTCGTTTTGTTTGATAGAGGCTGGTGCAGTGGGACCTCTGGTGAGAGTTCTTGCGGATCCAGATCCTGGAGCCTGTGAAGCTTCTTTAGATGCCTTATTGACTTTGATTAGGGATGAAAAACTTCAAAATGGCGCGAAAGTTCTCGCTGAAGAAAATGCCATACCATCAATGATAAAACTACTAGATAGTCCTTCCACCAGACTGCAACAAAAGGTTCTGAATTCATTAGAAAGAATTTTTCGGTTGCTGGAATACAAGCAGAAGTATGGATCCTCTGCTCAGATGCCCTTAGTTGACTTGACACAACGCGGAAGTAGCAACATCAAATCTTTAGCAGCAAAGGTACTTGCTCAGCTGAATGTGCTTCATGATCAGTCGTCTTACTTCTAGTGGCAGAATCATGATTGTTAAGGGCTCATAAACCAATTAGATGGGGAAATTGGTTAAAGTTAGATTTCGACTAAAGCAAGATATATCTTACCTAGGCATCAATCCAGTTTTATGAGAAAGAACCTCAGTTAGGAAGGCATGAGTTCAAATTATTTGATTAGAGCATTGCCATTTCTGATATGGTGCTTTCTGGCAAAGGGCAATGCTGTAACATTCAGGAACCACAGGTAATATAATATTTGTTTAGTTCATTTACGGGTTGAGTTAATCAAATAATTCAGGTTTTGGTTCTTTATCTTTGATAAAAACCTGATTTAGGTGTCAGTGGGAAACAAGCAATCTGGGCTGACTCCCCATGACAGAGTGGTTACTCAAGCCCTCTTTTTTTTTTTTTTTTTTTTTTTTTTTTTTTTTGTTGTTGTTGTTGTTGTAAAATATGTCGAAAATTCTTTAGTCGTTCAAGTTATAGCCATATTGGTTCCGCTGTAATATATTCTGAATTCATTATTGTTGAAAATCATAGCTTATTGATTCTTTTATTCCTTGCTACACTTGGTTGTCATGAGCTTAGAGGACAGGCTCGATATGTTTTTTGCATTGTTTTTCAGTTTCCCTTCAATCATCTCCATATCATTCCTTTAGATAAATGTTCAGCTAGTGCTCCGGCCAACATTTGAATCTCACTATATTCAGTTTCAGTCCTTTCCCTCTTCAAATTATCGATATTTCTTACTAAAGTTCAACAGCATTTGGAAATGGAATGCAAGCTATCCTTTCTGTTTCCATTCACTGGAATAGCAATTCACGTCTATAATCAGTAAGAAGCCACTGCTAGTAAGGAATATCTTGAATTAATATTTTGTACTCCTTGTATTGGGAAAATCAAGTTAACATATTGAATTAATAATGTGATGATATACCAAGATACGTGGATCAATAAAAGAGCGACAACAGGCAAAGGATAGCTGAAGAGGCACGAGCTTTGACAGGCACGGGCAGAGATTCAAGAAAAACAGGGAGGAACAGTTACTCGAACCTCTTGGTAATATGAAGACATCAGAGGAATGAACCTGGATAGCAAAAAGTACAAATACGTATTATCCACAATTAATGAGCATCAATGATGAAAAACGTTATAGAATCTTCACGAAACAGTTACGATTACCAATTATAACGTTATATTAAATGTCATTAATTGCTCATAATGGCTCTATTATGAGAGGAAAGGAAACGTATTATTGAGAGATAGCTATAAAAGGAGAGATATAACACTTGTAAAGACACACAATATTATTGGAATACACTGATTTACTTTGCTTTCTTTTTTACTTAGCTATCAGCCATCTCAATTCTTCTTATTTACTTTAAATTTGATTATCAGTAACCCGAGTTCTTCTAAAAAATACGCTTTGACCCGAATTTCTTATTTTCTGGTTAAACAAATTGGTTCCGTTACCGGGAATCTAATAATCTATTACTTTCTAAATCGAATTTTTGGTCAAAACAATCATGTCGAATGTCAATGACAACAATCAAGGAGATCACCAACAACAGGAGAATCTGCAAGGCACAGGAACTCCGGTCCCTTCCCCACGAAATTCTCCTCGACAATCTCGAGAAGGAACTCCTGATGGGTCTCGGTCAAATGTGAATGATCAATTTGAAAATGATGAGGCTATTAATGAAGCTTTGAAAAAAATTAATTGCTCAACAGGTCAGCAATGCCCTTGAGGCCTTCGCTAACCAGCTGCCAGCCGTGCCGCCATCATCAACTCTAAACAACAACACCTTAGAAAATCCTCGCTCAGGACTCGTTAATTCAGGCAGTGGAGGAACTCCTAGCGAAACCCGTGATGGAGGGTCAGGTAACCTAGTTAATTCTGATTTACAAAATTTGGTACTAACTTTGCAGAAACAGCTCAAGGAGTAGAGCGACGGCATAGAGCAAATACCTGGAGTGCCGCCTGTAATCAAGGGAATAAATATAGACAAGTACTCACAACAACCTTGGAAGCCAAGTGCAGCCCCTTTACCAATTCCGAAGAAATTCAAGATGCCCGACATTCAGAAATATGATGGAACAACTGATCCAAGGGATCACTTAACTGCATTCACAACCGGTGTAAAAGGCAACGACTTGACCAAGCAAGAAATTGAATCAGTGATGGTCAAGAAATTCGGAGAAATACTCACTAAGGGAGCATTAACATGGTATTCTCTATTACCCGAAAATTCTATAGATTCTTTTGCTGAACTTGCAGATTCATTCATCAAAGCACACTCGGGAGCTCAAAAAGTTGAGAAAAGAATGGAGGATATTTTCAAAATAAAGCAAGGGGATACGGAGCTGCTCAGGGAATTCGTGGACAGATTCCAGCGGGAGAGGATGATGTTGCCATGCATACCAGATAACTGGGCAGCTATGGCATTTGCCAGCAATCTAAATGAAAAAAGTTCAGAAGCCACAAGGAGACTCAAGGAAAGTCTGCGTGAATTTCCAGCAACAACTTGGAATGATGTTTATAACAGAAATAGCACGAAGCTGCGGATAGAAGAGGATACCATTATTCAATCTCGAAGGGATAAAAGGGTAAGTTCAAGGAGAACTGAAACTGAAAAAAGGTCCGCAAAAAACAGGTACGAGCCATACATGGGACCAGCAGGAAGAGACTCACGTTCAAAACAGGAAAACCCAAGGTACGATCATAGATCAAGAGATAGAGAGTCAGGTTCATCATCAAGGTTCGGAAAAGAACGGAATACACGAGAGACGCGAGATGATGACAAAAGCTCGAAGGCAAAGATCGGCGGTTACAGTTTCAATGTCAGCACATCCGAGTTGGTGGCTGTTTTAAGGAGCATGGGAGACAAGGTACGCTAGCCAAGGGAAATGAGATCAAACTCGAACAGGCGAATTCCTGATTTTTGGTGTGAATTTCACAACGATCACGGTCACAAAATGACGGAGTGTAGATTGCTGCAAGGTGAAGTAGAATATTTATTAAAACAAGGATATTTAACTGAGTTATTTAGTGAAAAGGGAAAGCAGGTATATATGAAAAATAGGCAGGAGCCCCCCCAAAACCCCCTTCACCGAAAAGGACGATTAATGTCATAAGTGGAGGAGAATAAATCAACGACATAACATACACAACAGCGAAGAAGGTGTCAAAAATAACAGTTACACGGGAAGCGGGTTCGACAGGTTTTAGAAGAAGATAGCATTACATTTGATGATGCAGATGCAGATGGCGTACAGACCCCACATAATGATGCACTGGTAATATTTTTACTTGTACATGACACTAATGTGAAGCGAGTTTTGATTGATCCAGGTAGTTCCGTTAATATCATTCTTTTAAGAGTGGTAAAGGAGATGCAAGTTGATGATAAGTTGATACCCAAGGCTCATACCTTGTCCCGGTTTTGACAACTCGAGCATTGTGACAAAAGGCGAGATAATGCTCGCCACATTTGTAGAAGGAGTAGTCAAAGACACCAAATTTCAAGTAGTAGAAATGGATATGGCTTACAATATGATTCTTGGTAGACCATGGATACATGAGATGGATGTTGTACCATCTACTTTGCATCAAGTTATCAAATTCCCTTCACAATGGGGAATACGGCAAATACGTGGTGACCAACAAGCGTCCCGAAGCATTAATTACGTAGCAGATGCAAGCGCAAACAGCGAAGATAAATAGCAATCACAGAACCAAATTGAGGATGTTGCGACGCAAACCTCAACTAAGCATGGGCGAACAGATGTAGACTCGAGGCCTGATACCATCCAAGAACCAGAAGAAAATGAAAACATCAAAACAACGATCGAGGAGTTAGAAGCTGTAGTATTATTTGCACCCTGGCCTGACAGAAAAGTCTATATCGGGACCAACCTCAGCAATGAAATGAAATGTAAGTTGATTGAATTTTTAAAAGCTAACATAGACTGCTTTGCTTGGTCCCATTCAGATATGACAGGTATACCCCCGGATATAATGACTCACAAATTAAATGAAAATCCATCATACCCACCTGTCAAACAAAATAAAAGGAAGCAAGGTTCCTTCAAGAACCAGGTGATTCAAGATGAGGTGCAGAAACTTTTAAAAATTGGGTATATCCGCGAGGTAACGTATCCAAGTTGGTTGGCTAATACTGTTGTAGTACCTAAAAAGAATAGTAAGTGGCGAGTTTGTGTAGATTATACTGACCTGAATAAAGCTTGCCCTAAAGATTCTTTTCCATTATCGCATATAGATCAATTAATTGATGCTACTGCAGGACATGAATTATTGATTTTTTTAGATGCTTATTCAGGGTATAATCAGATAAAAATGGATCCTATAGATGAAGAAAAGACTTCATTTATAACAGACATGGGGACTTACTGTTACAAAGTAATGCCATTCGGTCTCAAGAATGCTGGGGCCACATATCAAAGGCTGGTGACCAAAATATTTCAGGAATATCTAGGGAAAACCATGGAAGTTTATATAGATGATATGCTGGTCAAGTCACAACAAGCAGGGGATCATATTCAACACTTGACCGCCTTTCAGATTCTTCGTAAATTTAATATGAAATTAAACCCTGAAAAATGCACGTTTGGGGTTTCGTCAGGAAAGTTCTTGGGATTTCTTGTTTTTAACCGTGGTATTGAAGTAAATCCCGCACAGATTAAAGCTATTGAAGAAATTCCGGATGTACTGACGAATAAAAAAGAAGTACAATGACTGACGGGGAGAATAGCTGCTTTGGGAAGATTTATTTCCAAGTCATCAGAAAAATGCTTCAGGTTCTTTTCAGCCCTAAAAAAGCAAGATCAATTTGAATGGACTGAAGAATGCCAACATGCGCTTAAAATTTTGAAAACATATCTGTCAAATCCACCATTGCTCGCAAAACCAAAATATGGGGAAAAACTACTTATTTACCTTGCTGTTTCAGATGTAGCGGTAAGTGTTGTGTTAGTTCGAGAGGACCAAGGTAAACAATCTCCGATTTATTATGTTAGTAAGTCATTATTAGATGCTGAGACTCGATATCCTCATCTAGAAAAACTTGCACTCGCATTAGTTATGGCATCTAGGAAGTTAAGACCTTATTTTCAATGTCATCCTATCTCTGTAGTAACTGCTTATCCCTTACGCAACATACTGCATAAACAAGAGTTATCGGGTAGACTAGCCAAATGGGCTACAGATTTAAGCGAATATGACATAGCATATCAACCAAGAACTGCAATAAAATCGCAAGTTTTAGCAGATTTTGTGGCAGATTTTAGTCAGGGAATGCAGCTGGAGGCAGAAAAAGAACTGCAGGTATTTAATGGGTCTAATCCAGGTACTTGGACCTTATTTACAGATGGTTCATCAAATGTAAAAGGAGCGGGTCTAGGCATTATTTTGGTCCCACCTACGGGAGAAACTATACAACAAGCCATAAAATGTCATCCTATTACTAATAATGAGGCAGAATACGAAGCTGTAGTTGCAGGTCTAGAATTGGCAAGAGAGCTCGGAATAGAGCAAGTCATAATTAAA